GAGTATATATATATATATATATATATATATATATATATACTTCATAAATTTCAGAGCTCATAAAAAATTTTTAGTTGAAAAAACTATACAATATTACTATATGCTTGGTGAAAGATATTAAAATAGTTTTAAAAAAATGTCTGTCTTATGACGGAATTCACTCAAAACAAATTTGTGATATTAAAGTTGCTTTAATTGAAAACAAAAAATGCTAACAACGTTAAGATTTAAGTTTAATTAGTGTCAAATTTCTAGGAAAAATAGCACTCATTAACAGTGTGTTACAGTTTTTTGTTATTTATACTCAGCTACTTTTTTTTCTTAAAATTCTCCACAAAATGCACTTTCCAAGAAAACTTCGTAATTTTATGTTTTTAATCAAAACATTTCAGACATTTTAACTTGCTTAAAACTACTCTCGTATTCATTAATTAAAAGCCGAACTTGTACATTAAATAGCAGAAGCAAATTGTTAGTAGCAATAAAAGAATGTTACAGAAATGCAAATTTTAGAACACTTATGCAGGCATCTTTTTAGAAGAAGAGTTAAAATGTGACAAAAAGTTTGAAAGATGAAACTACTAGTATAAAGGCTGCAGGAAATTTTCTTGGGACCGTAATGAAAAGTGTTTGTTTATGAATTGTTAATTCGCAACTTAATTAAAACTTTTGGTTCTTAATTTATTTTGCATGATTTTGTTGTTTGTTGCACTTCAAAATTATATAGATATTTTTTGACACGGATTATGTATATTATAAATGATTCTGTTGCTTGAACAATTTGTCCTGACAATTTTTAAAGTTATAAAATTTAAAAAGAAAATTAAACTTACATTTTTAAAAATTACACTTTCTTCCTCAAAATGTTTTTTCCCCTCAGAACTTAAGGCTCTGAGGCGTCCAAGAACCTCTCTACATGTCAAGTTTTATTGAAATAAAAGTTGTTTTGCATTTTATAAGAAATTCGAAATACTATGCAAGAAATAAATAACAAAACAAAAATGCCTCCGAGCTGTTTTCAAGCAAATAAAGTCTTCTCACCACATTTCATTATGGATCAGGGATTATGGTAGAAACCAACGACGTGGTAGTCATATGGGCAGTATTGCGCCCTAGTCACCTATACTTCTCAGACAGAGTGGTGCCCATCGATCTGAAACTGGGTAGGGTTTAACCCCTGCCTAGGATCGAACCCAGTTTCTCGCAACGACAACTCTGAATTTTAGCCACTGAGATAGTACGGTTCACTATTTGCTTATAACAAAATTCATTTAATCTGTAATCTGTTATTAAATGACAAAGTCGAAAATAAAATTTTCGAGCCATCTCGTAAAATATTAACCATAGCACTTTTTGACCATGGCACATCGATCATAGAAATTTACTTAATATTAAAACAAAAATTTGCTTAAATTTACTATAGTTTAAAATAATATGAAGAATAATAAACGAGCTGCGAATCTAATCTGCTTTTAAACAATGCACTCTTCTGTTCCTAGTTTTAATCATGCCAACAACATTTCAATGTGCCTCAATTTATAACTGAAATCTGTTACAAAAAAAATTCGTTTATACAAATAATGATTAAATTTGTAACTGAAATTAAATACTCTGAAATTAAATTATAGTTTAATTATTTTTTAAATGCGGGGAAGCACTTTTTTGTCGAAAGTTACATTCTTACATCAAGCCTTTTACTTAGTTTCCAGCTTACAGCAGTGGTCTCCAATCTCCGGTCTGCGGACCAGTTTCGTTTCATGGATCAAATTGTACCAGGCCAATTCAAGAACTTTAAATTATTTCCATTTTGTTTGTGGCGTGTTTCTCGCTGGTTTGTACAACTTTCCGAAAACGGGAGGTTAACTGGAAGCTGAGAGATATCTCCCAAAGTCGCAGGCAATTATATTTCATTTCGAAGGCATATTTTAAAACAATTAATTTAAAATCATGAAATCAAAACAATCTAAAACGTAAACAATTAACAATACCCCTTCTTCAGAGGGCTGATTTTCAAATATTTTCCTGAAATATTTGAAAATATCTGTCTTAACATTTTATTTTTCTTTACCCATTAAAATATGATGATATTGAATTTGCATCTGATTTTAATTCAAGCACATAAGGTATATTTATCATTAGTAAACGTTTACTTTATAAATGAGATATAAAAATACATATAAAGTAATAACAGACAATAATAATATTACAGTAGACAAAACTGTTGTTTTTAATCATTTTATATTTTGAGTAACTATAATAAAAGCAAATTTATATTACCTTCCTTACTTCCCAATCTGTCCGCTGGAAAAGAATAAATATTAAATTATAAATTTTTATTTTGGAATTAAAAGTAAATAAAGTGTAAGCTGAAAATATTTCTTTGAAATTTATTAATAAAAGAACCGTAGCTGAGATTTCGAAGCAATTATAAGGATCGCAATATAATATCAATACATAAGGCAAAAAATATAATATAAATTAAAGTTGAAGTTAGTTAGTCATGTCATGGCTGAACGTATATGTAACTTAGATGTAACCAAGACTTGTATGAACTTATGCGCCTTGAACTTATATGTAACCGAGGCTGAATAAAACCAAGGATATGTCTAACCAATATGTATAACCAAGGACATGTAGCAAAGGCTCTTTTATCATTACTTAAATTTAATCTGACTGAACTTCTCAACTCTAATGTTCCAAGGGCCGCTACTTACCGTACGAAAACAAACGGATTATTTACATTAAAAATATATTTTAGTAGACTTGGAAGAAAGACAAAGAGAAAAGATATTATGTCATCGTCAGTTACGGCACTGGGGGTGCGATAGTTCTTGTTTTTCAGTGGCTCCATCTATGGCCAAGAATTCGACTTCTGCCATTTCCAAACGTCAAATCCGCTTATAGAGCGGACCCACTCATACAACTATTCATTCACACACAGATCGCAATTTCGACCTGAATCAGAGAACGATCAATTTCCAATCTATTACCCCCAAAGGTATAATTTGATATGGGAACATTAAGGACTTTGTGACCCAACAGATTTAACATGCACCAGTCACCATTTAATTCGGTGAGGCTTCGGCCGGCTGGATTCGAACTACCGTTCTCACGAACAAGAGTCCATCGTCCTACCATCCAGGCTATTCTGACCAACACATTTTAGTATTTAACTTAAGTGACATACTAATGTTGTGAAGAGCTTTGTTTCTACTGTATGTCTTGGAATAACATACAGTTGTGTTCTTTATTGCACATCATTTTACACTCAAACTACACTAAAAAATCCGTTTCAAATTACGGTATAAAGTACCAGCAATCAGATCGCTACTACTTTTTACAGCAAAATCCATTTCTACCGAAACATGTTACGGAACAAAAAAAAATGATATTCCGAAATTTCTAAAGTAGTAATTACCGTAAAATCAATGAATCAATCTAATTAAACAGTATTGCAAAAATTACGATGCAATATTTTACGGGAAAATGGATTTTATGAATGTTGTACCCAAAGTAACGGTACTTTATCCCGTAATTTGATACTGAATTCCTTAGTGTAGGAAAAAATAAGGAAGAAATGAGAAAAAAGCACTTCATTCCATGATTTATAATTTTTTGAACAAGTCGGCTGAAAGCATAACTGCCATGAAATTGAAAATACAATGTATTTCAGGATAGCTTTCAAAAAAAGTGACTTAACAACTATTTTTTTTTCTATGGCTAATGCTATTCTCAATGAAATAGAATTTTAGAAAACTGATAAAAAAAAATTATTTTCGAGAAAAAAATTTCGAATATGTAGCTTATCATACAAAAAAGCCAAATATATAAAGATCTCAATTATTATAATTTTTTTTTATTGCTGCCCACGTTTATTTTTTCATTGCACTGCAGAATACTGTGATATCTAAAATGGCGCTATAGACTGATATTCAAATATTAACTTTAAACGATGTTTTCAAAGTAACAACCATTTCAGCGACTTCATGACACCGTCGAAAGGCAATGTTCAGCTTCGTAACCTTGCAGTTTTGAACCCAATCCAAAAAACTCCTAGATCAAGCTTTGAGACAAATTGGCTTTTATCGAAGACTTTTTGGTGGAACTGACCCGCATTTGCGTCACATGAAAAGTAAACCCACGGTTATCCTGACAACAGAAGGATTCTAACCCACGATTCGTCTATCATTGAGGATAATTTATGCCAGCACTGTGGTCGAAACGAGCCTGAAGCAGAATTTATATCTACCAACCGTCGCTGGGATTCGAACCTGGGGAACATTACTGAGAGGCTAACGCTCTATTCCTTGAGTCACCATGACACAGCACCACAGATTATCATACTTTTCAACTAGTTTCAAAATTAAATTTAAAAAAAAACTTTCTGACCTTCTGAAGAGAACGCAACAATCCATACATTTATCTACCATTCTGTTTTCCTTTATTTTGCAAATCATCAGCTATGTTAGTGTACGACATAGTATGCATAATTGGGGCATATTATGTACAGATTTCAAAGATTTACTGATAAAATCAAATGCACAAGAAACTTACAGCAAGGCAAATTATCTTTGCACTTTCTTCTCTGAACTAATTTTGACGGACAGGGCTTGCCACCGTTTTCTGGGTTCAACTTAATCATGCGCCTCCTCTCTTTTCTTCCGTTGCCACAGGTATGGGAACATGGTGACCATTCTGACCAGGGTGTGACAACGCAATCTATGACGGGTGGTTGATCCTTGTTATCCATGGGCAAAGCTGGTGATGTTGACAAGGGCGTAAGAGCACTCAATGGAGCTAAATGTATTTTAAATATGTATACTTGATATTTGTTGTAAAAACAATCCATAGTAAAAACAATGCATGGTGAACGTAAAAACATATAATTTAAAAATGTTTGAATATAATGTTGAAGCAACAAAATTTAACTTTGAATAATTTAATTGATTAATATTACTTCGATTAACATTCAAGCAATTAATAGAAGATAATAAATTAACATTTCGTACTTATTGTCAGTACAAAATGTTAGCATCATAATCTTTGTGGGATACAACTTATGCATATGTAGAACAAATTATTATTTAAGTCTTCAATTGCACTTTGATAAAAAAAATTATGCAATTTAAAGTCCATTTAAGAAGTTAGATTTTTGATAAAAACAGATAAAATCTTCAATGTTTTCTAAGAATATTCATATTAATCATTGAATAGATAATTTCAAAATGTTAGTACCACAGTGTTAAAGTAATTAAAACAATCAGTCAAAAAGCTGGAATGCACATTACTTCGCATTATTAATCAATTGACAGAAATTGATTAATTTAATGGTAAAACCGATTGTTGGGATCCAGCTGTTTGAATTGTTTTGTTTCTTCATATTAGTTTTAGAGGAACAAAATGATAAAAATAACACAAATTGAAAACAAACTAATAAATATTAATTTTTAAAAATTTATTACAAGTAACTAATAATATTTACATGTCTTTAATATAAATAATAATAAATAATATGTAAAAGAAATCCTCCCAAAATTTTTTTTTTTTAGAAAAATGGATATTGTTTAATTTCAATAATGCTTACACAATTGTGAGGGTTAAACGTTTGTCTATTTTCTTTCAAAAATGGTAGAATCATTTTTGTGAAAGTTATAAGAGTTGTACACCCATGTCCTACCAGCTTTCTACCATGTGCTCTAGAAAGTGATTGACCTCGTTTTAGTCCTCATCGTCTGAGCAAGATCTTTTTAAATCGGATTAAGTCACCTTTGATGCTTTCTGCTGGATCATCAATAAACGCTACAGATACGGTGAAATGCGAATAAAACCTAAATGCGCATTTAAAAAAAAAATTCTAATCGTCTCGCATCAAACCGTCGCACGGCAGATGGCGAATAAACCATGGACCAAGTCCAAGCGGAAAACCAAGGATAGGGCGGACCAAATCCAAATTTTCCATTGTAAGAGTTTCAATGGAAAATTTGGACTTAGTCCTCAGTGCCTATCACTTGCTCCCCATATAGCTATGAAGTGATTCATATCTTAGATGTGATGAAAGATAAAGTTGTGACATAGAAGGTAGCTGGGAGGGCATGGGCGTATTTAAACTTTCGCCGCTTTTTAAGAAGGTACATCGACTGATTTGGCGATTATTTAGGAAAATAGAGAAGCGTTGAATCTTTATATTAATGTCAATACTAACGAAAATATCCCGAATTTCGTTATGCAAAATAAATCCAAAACATCGCTTTCGAGATTACCCTGTTAATCATTAAGGAAAAAAACATAATAATAATTATGTTGAAAGCATATCAAGAACAGTAGAAACTGTATTATAGAAAATTGAATTTCAAATGAACATTTTTATATCAATTCATTTGGCAAAAATAGTTAAAAAAGTTCAATGGACAAATCAGAGATGGGGGAAAAGGAAGAACTATCTATAAGGCAAAAGAGGTGACAAATGAAAAATAAAGGAAGGAAAAAAAGAAGAGAGAATGGTTATAATGGACAACTGACCACAGACAAGACCTTTCTCCAGGTGAACTTTGGCGTCCTTCATGGCGTAGGCATAGGCTATAGCAGAAGGAGGCAGCGAAGCTCGGACATAGTCTGCATCAAGCAGCATGCGGGGGATACCAGTAAATGTTAGTTAAAACAAGAGAGTTACGGCCCCTTTAAAGTTGTTTCAAATAGGCCAACCAATAACTTTATTTTTGTAATATTTTTTTTCCTAAATTATTCTAAAGTTCTTTTAAAGAGTAAGTTGAAAACTCGTATAAAAATATGAATCATATTTTTAAATAAGAAGGAAATACAACTTTTGATATTTGCCAAGAATTTAATGTATATTAAATTCACAATCAATACGTTTATTCGTAAACTTAAATCTTCTATGTCATGTGACGTTGCTAAAAATAATGTTCTTTAAGTGCAGCGGATATTTTGCAATTTTCATTACTTCCTTGTAAGAATCTGGCATTTCATTTTATCCAAAGTAAAGGCCTGGTTTCTTAAGACAAGTGCCTTATCAGGGCGTCAGCGTTAAGTTGACGTTACCCTGACACCAACAAAATACTGTTCTGTTAGTTCAGCGTAAGCAGTCGGTCCAACGCAGACATTATCTCGCATTGCGCATGCGTTAATAGCATAAACAAATATTTAGTTTCAATTCGTATTGATTTTGTTATTGTCGACCAGTGCTTTAATGAACAAATAGTGACTTTGTACAAAACAATAACACATTATAGCTTAGCTAAATGAAGAAGAGAAAGAAGAAGCTATGTTTAATGTTAAAATCAAAATCTTGGCTAAATTCAATGCTCTGTTGGATACTGTACGTCATTGTTTAGGTCGTTAACGTTACGTTGTAATCCAACTATAGTTGATTCGGACGTCAGTCGTCGTTCAAGCTGAGCGTTCGATGACGTATGCTGTCTAACTCACAAATTGACCAATCACGAGTTAGTTCTCGCTTCAAGCTGACGTTTCGTAACGCCGCCCTGTCCTAAGAATCCAGGCCTTAAGTTAATGTTAATCACGAAAAAAAATTGTTCAACTACTATTATTTGTACATTGTTTTACAAAATAAAGTTATGGCAAGATTTTTAAGTAAATTTATTATAGGACTATGAAATAAATGGGTTATCTGAAGACAATATTTCAAGCTCAAAATAGTATATAACTGCTTTAAGGTTTTTAAAATTATAGTGTTATTTATCCAGAATAAATAATAACTGTGACATGCAATTTAAACTTTATTTAAAATTCAACACCCATCCACACTACAGATAGAAAGTTCATACAAGTTTTCAGATTCGTTTCACAGCTTGAAATTAAATTAAATTAAATGTTTCATGAAGTAATTTCTTTGCGTCTCAATATAAAAATATTGAGCAAAGCATTTTTTAAAGTAGAGAACAAAGTTCAAAGAAAAAAAATAAGGAATTAAATATTTGTTAGCTTAAAGTATCCGATTGGTATAAGTATCCGAAAATCAGCAATTTCAATGATTTTTTTTACTATTCATTTTTATTTCAGTTCATTGCCTTTAAAAAACCCTTTAAAATGTTTATTTCCAATTTAAAGAAATAAAATTACAATTGTTTTTTCATATGCTGATCGATGGAAGAAAATTCCCAAAAGTGAAACTCAAATGTTTTTTTTTATGCTCAAAGAATTTAATTTTTTTTTTATTGAATAAAGTATATTTTTTGAAACAGATAAATTTCATTTTCAGAAATTACTTTTCGAATTATTAATTTTTTGTTATCTATTTTTTTTTTTTGTTACATTTCAGATAATTCTTTCAGAAGAACGCTGATTAATTTCTTTACGCTAACACACATGACAAAAAACGTTTATTATATAATTCTTTGAAATTTTGCATGTAAATTTCGTTTAATGTTAGCGATCTTTTAAACTTAAAGCTAAGGTGTGAGTGTTACTTAGCTACTTTTATATATTTTTAGGGAAGAATATTTAGCATTCTTATTCGCAGTTTCAGTATTGAACAATAAACTTAGTTTTATTATATTGCCTTTTTGAAATGAGGATTTCAGTTCAAAACACGGGTAATTACATTGTTGATCTAGAAAAAAACATTATATTTCTACATGTTGTAGAGCTATTAGCGTGACATTTAAAATCTTTCTTTTGTTGACACATACTTCCCCTCATTTTGAAAAATATTTCATAAATTTTTAACTTTTTTGTAAAAAAATATTATTAATTTGACAAATAAAAGACTAAAATTTTAATAAGAATTTTTAAAAAAAAAAATGCAAAAAAACAAGCCTTCAAGGAAAAAAAGCAATCGGATGCTTTAAATTCTGAACATTTATACACCACTTATAGTTCATTACACAAAACATATCCAATCTATAAAATCTCGTATTGTTATAAACGTTTTGCAGTGGCAACATAAAAAAAAGAAAATTAGATTAGAAAATTAGAAATTTCATTTTTAAAACATCTATGCAAGAAACAAATTTTAAGATCGAGATTTTAAAGAATTATTAATTATAATATCTACGCTTATTATTCAGTTAGTTCAATATATTGAAAAGGAAATTAGTTAATGTCATTAAATACAAAAATTTACATAATTAAATTGTAATACATTACCTCTTAACATGGTTTCGCACATTCTGTTACAGTCTGCGTACCTTTCGAAATTATTTCGATTGCCTCTGCATCCACCATAGATGAACTGCAGGCACATGGTTCTACCAACATCATAATACCATCGCGGAAAATAACCTCTACATGGGCCTACCTCTTTGGGCTGCATACAATTTTCTGGAAAGAGAAAAAAAACATGTTAAACATTAAATATATAATATAATAATATTGAATAAATTAAAATATTTATGTTGATTTGCGTACCCCACACTCTTTCTTTATTTTATTATTTTCTCAATTTGGGTTCCTAGCTGGTTACCCCAGTTGTTTTGTTCGTTACTAAAAACATCAGAATGACTGGTGCTGCCATCTACCTGGGAGATTTTAACCTAAGACGTACTTTCGCCATTGCGGTACTCTCTTGTAAAATTAAAGGCGAACTTTGCTTACTTAATTAAAAAAGAAAATGGCTGCCATGTATGGCTTGACAAAGTGTCATAACAAGTGTCATAAGAAACAGCAACAATATAAAAAAAATATAGCAGCTATGGATTGTAAAGACAATATATTTGACGAGAATAAATATAGATCATTCTATTGTTTAAGATGTAAATATGATCTGCATGAACCTAATTAACAGTAACTAGTAAGGCAAATTACAACATTTAATATGGTTATAAAATATTGTAATAATAATTAAATAAACATTTTAAAATTGTTTTCAATAAATTTAACATAAAAACCCAATTCTCACGATAACGATAGCTTAAGGTAAAAAAAAATAAATTAGGACTTCTCAATTGCTAGTTTTTCATCTAGCCATTTAGGTTTAGACTCTGCAATTTCTTGATCAAGATTTGATGGAGGCAATGTGGTCATCATTATAGTGTGGTCATCAATGTGGTCACTTTTACTTCTCAGACCAGCTGAAACACATCTTTTTGAAGTTGGATGTGCTTTACGAAGCCAAACTCTTAAGACATTTTCGTTTTTGTAACTACCCTGTCTTGTGACATTGGATTATTGATTAAAAAAAAGCATTTTTTTAACTGCTTTAAGTACCAGTAAGTTTATCTTAAAATTAAAATGTTGTTTTTTTAATTTCATGACCAGCATAATTTTTTAACAAGTATTATTTACGCATGAAAGGATTCATCCAATAGAAAAAGGTTACAAAAATAAGCTAAGTATAAAAATGGTAGAAATAAGAAAATATATTTTGTAAACTATAAAACTGTATTGATTTCGTAAAAAAATCTTCGACGCTTGTACTGCCCAAAGTTTCCCTTTTTCAAAATGAGAAATCTAGTTACTCAGGACACTTTTAAGACACCAAAAGACATTTAATACAGTCTTAAATAATAATATAATTAATAATAAAATAGTGATATTATTATTAATTATTATATCAGGATATCATATATCCTGATATTAGGATAGATAGCTAATATTAAATATCCTGATTAATAATATGACAATTAATATTCAGGACACTTAACAACAGTGTCTACACTTATTATTAGTGACTAATAATCAACTACACTGAACAAAGATATGTAATCTAAGGTCTATTTACAGTAAAACTTAAAGGAAAATCCCAGTTTTCAAATAAACGTATCATAAAAATACGTTTACGATAGTGTACTAGAGTGTTTTTATGGGGAAAGACTGTTTTTACACGCAGGATGTTCACATCTACAACCAAGCCGTTTTTCCACTGCTAAATATTTTCAAATGAAAGCTTGCCAGTGGCGTCATAAGAGAGCGTTTTATTTTGTAAGTTAAAATCATGATTACTCAACTTCCTGCTATCTGACACATGCCGATTCCTAAATAATGCTATGCTATATTATATTAATTGGAACGTTTCGTTGCCTTATTGTCCATTGTTTTGATAGAAATAAAAGATAACAAACATGTCAAAAGAATTGCCTATTAGGAATTATATATATACTAAGGCATAAAAACTAAAATCTACTTACCTGTAACTGATAGATAAAATTTTAAAAACTATTTTAAACTATAAGCAAAATTTATTCTGTTTAGCATGCAAATTTGTTAGCGCGATAGTAATTCATAGAGCGAATTTGTATCTACGTTTTCCTTCGCCAATATAAAATGTCCTATTATATGCTATTTCCTTATATATCGCTGTGCATTATAATTATCAGTGCTAATAAAAAATAATAATAATAATAAAATTTTGCCGAAAAATGGAACAAATATTTGAAAGTGAAGAAACATGCTTTATCGTGCACACATAATTTTTGAAATTTACCGAGCTTTTGGCGAAGTATGGCTACTTCTGTCGCTTGTGCCATAACATTCCATACAACGAACCAACCTTGAAATAAAAGAATATTTCAAGACAATGATTTGGGGTTATGGAGTGATTTTTTTTTTACAAAGACACACCTTTCGGAACATAAAATAAATTTAGTCTTTCTGTCAAAACAAAAAAAACTAGTTTTAATCCAGAACTGTTTTTAGTTACATTTTAAGAAAAAACTTTAAGTTTCAAGTAAGAACTTGGGGAGCTTGTTTAATATAATTAATATTTGTATTTACTTAAGGTAATGATTTTTAAGAAACATAATCGAAGAAATGGCGTTATGTTGTTGCAGTTATCATTTAATACAAAACGTATAGTGACAAGCATTTTTAGACAAAAAGACATTTATTGTTTATTGTATTAAAATATTTCTATGTAATAGTAAAAAAAAATCAATTCCATAAAAAAAAACTTTTCTCAATGTAAATTTGCTTCGATCATTTGAGACTCTTTACAAAGAACCTTTTTTCATTATTTTGGTAAATAATTACGTAATGGCATATTGTAAGAAATCTACATATTATATATTATCAATAAATTTAGAAAAAAAAAGTATCAGAAATCGTAAATTCTATGTAATTATGGAAGTATTAGAATCATCAATATGGTAATTTCCTCAACTTATAATTGATTAGAAATTTACCTGGTCATTTCTGTATTAGTTTCATAAAATTAGCCATTTCGATAGTTGTTTCAAAAACTGTGAGTTCTAATTTAATGAGCTATTTTGAGTTTTAGCTATCTTTTAATATGCAATTTCAGAAGAGCATAGAATAACATCAGATCTGTTACCAATGAGGAGAAAAACTGATAACTATCATATATAGTTTCTATCTCTTATTATAATAACTTATCTTGCCATTACTTATTGATAATTATCACAGTGCTTGAAATTTCCGTCTTAAAGGTGCAGGCTAAAGTAAACATTTTGCTCATCAATATTTTCAATGTTTTCATTTTTAACATTTTAACAAATGTTGTTTTAAGAAATTTTTGGAGGCCAAAAAACCATGAAAAAATACAGAAGCTGAAAACTGTTGAATAACACAAAATATATATTTGATCAAATAATTGGTCACCAACTGGTCAAATTTCATATATATTTGATCCCCAACTGGGGTGAATTCAGTAAACTTGCTGAACACTCCCCACTGTTACACTTCCTAGTGTTATTAGTGATAGAGAACATAAACTCGAATTCTGCCAACATATCACTCACTTATTTACTTAAGAGAATTGGGTTTAATTACAAGAAAAGTTTCTTTATCAAGAGTTTTCTTTTTCTTTTTCTGGTAGGCCAACAAGGCTGTCAAAGATACACATAGATAGTAACACATCAGATGACATCAGACACACGCAATGCCTTTCTGTGATGTATATCTTCCCTCCTAAAATCTAAAACTATTTTATATTTTATATCCGACGTTGAACAACCTACTCAATTTTTGGGTTTACGACTACTGATGTTCAACTCCGTAGCCATGTAATTTTGAACTAATCCAGAAGACAAGGAAACTCCTGGATCAGTACCCCCAGAAGTATTGATTTGTTATGGGAACATGGAGGACTTTGCTACTCGGCAGATTTACCGTACATCAGTCATCATTTACTTCACAGGGAGTCTTCGGCAGGTGGGGATCGAACCCACGACCTCTTGGACATGGGGTCAGTGCCCTACCAATCAGGCTATCCCGGCTCTTATCTGAAACTATTGTTCCCCTTTAGACTACAAAAAAACTTTGGGAAATGTTTTTGTAATGGCGGGAACTAGGAACTATTGTCCATTGGTCCCAGAAAGTGCCAGAACAGCTAACTCACTTTTCGTTACCCAGTGGGCATCCGTGGCGAAGCCACGGCGGTGGAGCAGCTTCGCCAACGTCGCACTACCACAACCCGTTTATAGGACGGGTCACATTCACACACAAAGGATAAAGGACATAGAACACAGATAGAGAGATAGAAACATCCATGCCTTTCCCGGGATTCGAAACCAGAACCTTTCTGACGCAAGGACAGTTCCCTGCCCCCTACACAGGCCGGTCGTCTTTGGGATAATATTGTAGTTTGATTTGAAACACAATATTTTACAAGACATCACTTACTCGCCAGCCTTAAATATTCAGTCACCAAAGGCAAGCCGCTGAGTCAAAATTTTTCACCTTGAATTATCATATTATCATATTTATTTCAATCACATATATTGAACGTGTAAATATACATTTTATGTTTGAACATAAAAAGGTAGCAGTACAGTTAGTTATTTCTCCTGAACAAAAGGTAAAAATGAAATATTCTTAATATCGGTTTTTTTTTCTTCAGATAATTAGTAGTTATTTAACACGCTTAAATCATACACGCCTTTAATAAATATTCATTCATTCCAGAATTCTTACATACTTTTTGCTTCTGTCAGATTGACGGTGCAGTCTGGTTTGTCAGCTGTGCAGGGAGCTTTCTGCATGAGTTCAACATTACACATACTGAGGGCTGCAGGACTCAGGTACAATCTTGTGCGTACTTTCAGTCCTTTACCACAGGTCACTGTGCATGGTGACCATTCCGACCAGTGGGTCACTGCGCATTTAGGATCTTGCTGTAACAAGAGTTTTAGAAAAAAAATAATCAAAAATTGTCAACGCAAAGAAATCAATTTAGTGATTTTATTGATTAATAGCAAATATAAATAATATAAACATAGTTTATATTGAGTAAATTATATAAAATATGCTCATGGAAGGAATTATTTTGTTCATATGAATGCTGTTTCTCTTGTTAACGACATTGGTTTCTTACTACCTTTCCATAGCATATTGAAATACATTTTATCCTGATTTGCTCCTTTTTGCAACTGAGGCTTTTCTTGGATACTATGTTTTTTTTTTCTATTTTTTTCACACCTTTATGTTTCCTCTTTTTTTTCGAAACTTTATGTTTTCTATTTTAAATTACTTTTTTCCCCTTCTCATTCACGTCTGGCTATACTTGATAATGATAGCCTATTTTTGAGCTCTTGAAACATGTCTATTGTTATTTCAATTTTGCATATTTTTGAAGAGATTGAATTTTTTAATCAAGTTATAGTTCATATTGGTTTTTCTTAAAAGACTAGGTATATATAACATAGCCTTTATTTTTTAGATTATAAAAGTTTTGTCATTAAGTATAAAGGGTGTTTCGTAATTACAACCTTAAATACAACTTTAAAAACCGGGATAAAAATTGAATTAAATTCCAGAAGCAACTGAATGGAGAAGAAAAATAATTAGAAAATTCATCTTTCACATTTTCATTTACTGGAATTAATGTTGATAATGGTACGCCCAGTTTCAATAACGATACCGACAATGAAATATTAGTTTACTACGTCATATATCTAGGCAAAAGAAAGATTTCGAAAATTTACGTTAGCTTCCATACGCTCCGGTACGTAAGTAATTGAGAGCGCACTTCCAGTGCGCATGCGTCAGGTCTGCTGAAATGTGTGTGAGGAAGTGAAAAAATATCAAACTTACGTAAGGGAAAACAAAAGATTTTTCAAAAACCCGTAAGTTCAAAACACTATCGTAGTGAAATATCCTTCTAACTTTGACCATAAAGTCAAAACAAACATTTACAATATACGTAGACGATCTCTACAAAGCTGTGGCACATGACTCAAGATCCTTTGCTCAACGTAGAACTGGGGTTGTGAGCAGAAAAAATTGGTGAATTTTGATGAATTCAGCGATAAAGAATGCAGCTTATTATTTAGATTTGTGATCGAAAATGTAAGAAATTTGGTATCTGAATGAGGTCTACAACTAACCATAACTAACAGTAGTTGGCTATAAACTACACAGGTAAGTTTGTAGTGATATAGAACGATTCATTTCTAAATTTCATCTATACATTTCTTCAAAGTCGAATTCCATGTCCATATTTTTAGTTTGAAGGTCGGCTTAAACAGAAAACAACATTTAACACCTAAAAACAGTAGCGTGCTTGTAGCTTTGTCTTTGTAGCGTTAATTTCGCCAACATAACGTAAAGCTACGTGGCATCTAAAATTAACGCAAGCATGCGCAGTTGCTTCAATTCTTACGTGTGGGAGAGTACGAAAGCTAACGTAGAAGTGAGAAATCTCCCTCTTATTATTTCATCTTATTGAAGGTTACGAAAATGAATCTTAAAAACGGATATCATATAACAACTTATACATATGCAGTTTAGGAGAACCAGTGTTAGTTTTCTCTTTGTAGTATACGTGCTCGTTAGTAACTAGAATGGTTATTTTAGTTAGTTGGTGAACGGGTGGTCTACTAAGAAACCATTGAATAATCATACTGGCTCTGAAAGAACAGCTTGCTCATTTTGCTTTGAGTCTTCCAGTTTTTTACCTTTTTTGTTCTTTCTCATCACCTGGAAATATGGCATAAATAATTCATATTGTTTTGTATTATACATTTGCTTTAAAAAATATAACTTATTCATATAAAAAAAATTGTACAGTATCTATTTTATCTGAACCAGATTTTTGAGTTTAAAGGAAATATTACTGAAATTTATTTTACTTAAGCAATATTAAAGTTATCAGTTTTATGGCATTATTAACTAACTAACATTGGTCAAAGCACTACTCAATTAAGCATGTTATATTTATTTATATATTTAAAACATAGTAACTGAAAATGAACATGAGTTTCAGGAACCTATTAATACTTGCTTTTCTAAACTTATAACTTTGTTTGAGTGCTTTGAAAAATTAAGTAAAATTGAGAGGACTTTATCCTAAAAAAGGAAGCAATTTATTTCTTAAAAAATATATAGCATAGAGAAAAATGCACAATATAAAATAGATAATGTTGTAATCATCCTGATCAATAATAATTAGGAAAAGAAATGGAAAAGGATCCAACAAATATCACGCAATTGCACATATTTTCATGCTCCATAGTCTGACAGACCATATTTTTATGTTTTGAAATTTATGCTCATTATGCATATCATTGAACTAGGAAAAAAACTGTCCCTTCAATTTGAATTAATTGTAGCTGTAAAATGTTTTATTTTATGTGAAACAATAAATTTTTTTACATTATTATTTCTCAAATTTATTGCATTTTCAAATTGTGCAACTATAAATTTCAAGTGAAAGGGAATTTTTTAACAAGACAGTTTTATTAAACTTTCACAAGTAACTTTTGTTATCCGTAAATTTCATAATATTCTACTTAAACAAATCGTGATGGCAAAAAAATTGCATGTTTATTTATATAGTACAAAAAATTATGTTTCACAAAATTGAATACAACAGCATTTAAAAACATACTATTAAAATTACTGTAAATATGGAAATACGATAAAAAAGTACCGACACTCACGATGCTGGTATTTTTTACAGTAAAAGCCATTTTTATTGGAACATGTTACGGAACAAAAAATCTGAAAAACCGTAATTTTTACTGTAATCGTGAAATCACTTTATCCCTCTCATTAAGTAAAGATCACTCTAAGAATTAGGGAAAAAATGAATTTTATGGATGATGCACCCTACGTGCCGTCACATATTTGATCCGAAATTTTCTTTTAAGTGTTGTTGATGCATTAAACACCAAAAATAAAAATTCAGTTTGATATTCTATTTATAAATAGAAAAGCAAATTGATTCAGTATTAGGCAAATGCTTTTTTTTTTCGAAAATTTAAATATGGTTAAAGAATTAAAATAATACAATATATATTGTTTACATGTTTTTCTTCGACTTCGCAGACTGGTTTCATGCCCATGCATGTCTCTTTTTCCATCAATTCCAACGCACATGTTTTTCTCGCTCTGTTGTCCAAGTATTTTCTGCTCCTTGTTCGAAGACCTTTGCCACACGTGACACTGCATTCTGACCATTCACCCCATTCTGTGGTACGACAGCTTACGTCACTATAAACATTAAAATATCATTTTTATCAAGCATTAAATTTCACGATTTTTTTTCAGTTGTGCTAAATTTCAACTATGAACCTTGACAGATAGCACAGGTTTTGATTCAGTTAAATTAAAATTTTAACATGCAAGAACACAATTTTCAATAATCTGCATTTTTAATGTTGTGCAGAATTCAATCAGTATCACTATGTGGCGAAAAATTGATTTTTTTCGCTCTTTACAAAGACTTTACAAAGTGAAAATTTAGTGAAAAACACAAAACTAATGTAAAAATTTCTTAATGTCTTTTTTTTAAATGCGATATATTTGTGTCTGTTAATGGTGAGCTTTATATATTTCATGCATAGTATATATAGAATATATACAGTTTAAAAAATTCCAAAAACTACTATACGGAATTGTTTTAAACTGTATCAAAATAATTTAAAGAGATATTTATCTATTTACTTTTGTAAAACTCGGTTTTTTTAATATTAAATTACATTAAATTTAATAAAAATCTCAGCGTGAAACTTTGGTTGGGATACATAAAATTAATTTCTTATCAAATCAGTTAAGGTTATGCTTTATTTCTGGCAACCGTTTGAATACATCAGGATTACCATTAAAATTAATTTTAAAATGTGGTTATCTTGATTTCGTAAAAGAAGACTGATAAACAAATTTCAAAAAGTTGCTGATATCTTATCATCCAATACATACTTTTTTGAAATATTTAAAATGATCTGATTCAAAATATGCCAACCACCGTTTTTTAGATATTTTTCTCCAACTATTTATCTTTCAACAGAACCATTTACTATTGCATCGAGTGCACGCGAACATATCATTAGCTAAGAAAACAGTCAGATGAAGTATGCTGTATTGAAGTAGCTAGTTCAAAATACAGCACACATAAAATTCATATACACTGAAAATACATCCTTTATCTAAGGTATACTTTAGTGTTTATTAGTATACTTTAGTGTTGTATATCTTAAACGTCCGCACAGTAGCAAATGGTTAACGGAAAAAAGAGCATTGATAAAAATAACGCTGAAAAGAATTTGATAAAAGGTTTTCAAAAAAGCACCGAAAAGAACTCGAAAAAAAAACTTTTGAAAAATGCACCAAAAAAAGCATCACTTTAATATTATATAAATTTCTGTCAAATTTGATTCACGCCGTTGACCGAATTAAGTTCGAATTTTAAATAATTAAATGTTTATTCTAACGAAATTAGATACATATTTTTAAAAAAAATTTATTTAAGTACAAGGATTAGTTTAAAGTTTATGGAAGGAGCTTTACTTCGTCCTTACTATTAGACAAAATTTTCATAACTCTTAAACGGCTCCATAATTTGTCTGAATTACAATTATTACACTATTTGTGTTATGGTAATACTTATTTAGTTAGTCAAATTAATCCAAATTTATTCATTTACTAACAACTTTTGAGCCATAATGCATCAATATCGGAAAAAAATACCAATTTTTTGGCAAACTTTCGGCATTAAAAAAATTAATTTTAACAACAAAGCAAGCCGAAAAACAAAAACGTTAAATTTAATTATTCTAAACCGACATTTATAAAAAGAATTATGACTATTTTTAGTTTCAGACTTCAGAGTGCGCCTTCAAATATATATATATAATTTTTCTTTAATTATTTTTCGAAACTTGTCTAGCTTTCATACTTTGCATCCAAGAGATTTTACGTTATCTGAGAGCTAAGCACTCGAAGCAAAAATTCTTCCAAGACACTGTAAAAATGGATACTTAAATTTCACGGAACTTTCTTCGTTTTTGACGGAACCGTTTCTCGATGCATGCCCCGAGCAAAAATTTTGTCAGAATTACCAAATAACGATCGTCACTTCTTCGAGGAAACGAATTTCATCATTCTATTTCTTTTTCAAATAAAAAAAAACTCTTCATTCAAATTGTATTTAACTTTTCTAATATTCACCTTATAGTGGACACCATATAGGTGGATCGATATCGCCCAAACAACACACGGAAAACTGAAAGAACAAAGAGATAAATTACACCCGTGCCCCAAGCGAGATTCGAATCCAGGATCTTCCTGGTGACAGGCCAATTCCTTGACCATCATACAAGCCGGTCAGCTTTATCGACACTTTATGTTTGATCACCTAGTCTCCATTCCAGTTTCTTCATTCTAGTTATTCTCCCACAACGTACTACAATGAGGTTTCGTAATTGAGGAACCATATTCGTCATACAATTGAGAGTTTGCGTTTCGTCACAAATCACGTGATTTCATGACGAGATGGCTCTCAAAATTAACGAAATGCAGCTCAAAGATTGTTGAATCATCAAATGAGAGAGTTTTTTTCTGAAAGTGCAGCGGCCTTATTTATTTATGTAGAGACACACAAGCAATACACTTGATTGACATTCTACGGCATAAATTACTCTTTATTAAATTCAAGTTAGGAACCTTGAAAATCCTGTACAATTTCAAATATTTTCTATATGAAAAATAAGCAGTGACGTGAAAGTACGAGGCGCATCCAAGAAGGAAGTTTCCCGAATTTTTTAAAAAAAAAGAACTCACACTTTCAGGAACATATTTACTGGCAACAAGTACAGCAATGTTTCAGTTATTTTTTATCATAACCACCACCAGAATTGAGACACCTGTCGTATCGTGGGATCAACTTTTGTATCCCTCTGTCGTAAAGCTTTGCCGCCTGTGAATGAAGCCAGCGTGTGACAGACGTGTACCGTCACTGTGAAACACTGCGGAAATTGTGACGTGCCGTTCAAAACAAGAGGCGTGAAATGCTTACTGTAGGTGTTGTGCTTCTCCATGACAATGCTCGTCCACATACGTCACGACGCATAGCAGTTGTTCTGACGGAATTTGGTTGGGAGTTGTTTGATCATCCACCTTACAGCCATGATCTTGCTCCCTGAGTTTTACGTTTTCTTGCACCTCAATAAATTCCTGTCCTCCTGTGAGCGTTTTGAGAACGACGAAGAGCTGAAGATGCTGGTTCCATTCACAGGCGGCATAGTTCTACGACAAAGGGATACAAAAGTTGATCCCACGATACGACAACTGTCTCAATTCTGGTAGAGACTATGTTGAAAAATAGCTGAAACATTGCTGTACTTGTTTGCCAATAAATAAGTTCCTGAAAGTGTGAGTTCTTTTTTTTTTAAATTCGGGAAACTTACTTTCTGGATGCGACTCGTATCTTTTTAATGAAATTAAGCATCATTTGTGTTTGATAAGAAAGCTAAGCACAAAAAGTTCCGCACAGTTAGTCAAACGAATATGAAACCCTTATAGCACTATGAACAGTTTTAAGTTATAGTTGTGAACATCGATAGCCAGGAACAACATGCACAACTAATAGCTAGACTGTTTCTGCTATGTAACCTAAATAAATAACATCACATACCCCACGCAAGAGGGATTGCACATTTCTTTGTCTACAAGCGGGACTGTACATCCGGTCATGTCTGCTTTTTGCTTATTCAAATACTGCCTTGACCTCATTTTAACACCTTGTCCACAAGTTACACTGCAGGGCTGGAAATCAGACCATTCAGTTACTCTACATTCCACTGCAATAGAATTAAAATCACTTCAGAACCAATGGAAACTAATAAAAAAATTATATATTTTTTTAACTGCGGAAATAACAATGTATAGATTACCTGTTGTGATAATATCATATTTAACATAATACTATAAAAAACTTTGGTCTGTTATACAAGTTAGTTTAGTTTTATAATAATTCTCAGGGAATGAGATTTACTCTTAATTACTAAACATTAATTATTACTTAATGATTAAATATTACTTAATGAATAAAAAACTTTTTTTCAGGCATTAAATTTATGAACTCTAATAAATACGTTAATGGTTTATGAAAAGTGCCTTTATGAACTTTAATGCACACATAAAAGAACTTATAAATGGTGAACTTTGAGTAATTATCCAAATAAAAAGGCATTTTCATTGCGGTGGTAATAAAATTACGTCGAAACAACGCAAATTAATGAGTTTGACGTTATGTGTTGATGTCAAGCAAAATGTGTTTATGACACTGGTGACGTTGACGAATGTTCCAAAAAACGAGCCAATCGAAAGCAATCCAAAAATTAAAAAAAATCATTTTAAAACAAAGATAATGTATGATTTGTTTCATTCTAAGGGAGCCAAATATTTATTCTCATAAAGTTTCAAAATTAGTTACTAAGTTTGCCAATAGATGGGAATTTAAACTAATAAAAACTATAAGGCAATGTTTTTGAAATAATCAACATTTGCACTAATAACGTAGAGCCTTCTGATGAAAATATTAACATACGCCCATGTAAATAATTCTGTAAGAATGGTCTGATGTGCAGCAGAAAGTATCATTTGATTGTTTTTATTAATTTACAGCGCCATCTGTTTGTGAAAGCTATTAATAAACTTGAAACTTATGAAAACATACTTCTCTAAGCAAAATTCAACAAACCGTGCCTTTTTATCTCCTTCCTTTCTTCTATAATTGAATTTTCAAATTGACGATTTTGGAACACCGAATACTTTATTATTATAAAAAAACAGCAATTTGTCAAATGACCTTGTTTATTTGCCATTTTTAAGGAGGTATTAGTTTCAGTAATTACATAAATTGTACCTAGTAAGTTATAAACTAAAAAAAACTAAACTCAGTGGCTCGACAGCCCATAGAGGGCCAAGGCCTACTGTGCCCATCCCAGTTTTCTTGACCTTGGGCTCTGGGGTGCAGGAGCAGATGTTCCGGTCAGGTGGTCAGCCGAACGCGTAACCCCCAGTGTTTAGTTCCCAAGCATGCTTGGTTCTCATTTTTCGACCCACTAAAGGGATGAAAGGCTGAGTCAACCTTGCCCGGTCCGAGGATCGAACCAGGGACCTGTGGCACGACAGCGCGAAGCGCTACCGCTCAGCCACCGGGCGTCAAGTTATAAGCTACAATACGGAATTATGACAATTATATACCGGTACTGTTTCCATGGAAACCAGTGGAAGCCGTATTGGCGAGAATCCGATGTTCTTTTCGAACAGAATGTAACAATACACTCATAGGTATATCAAATACGAATGTATCACATTTATTGACGATAACGATAGATATCAGCTTTGATAAGATCACGATCCATGTGAAGACGATGATATCGAGAATATTAAACACAATATTATTGTGAGGGTTGATAAATTTCGTTTCGTTAACGGAAATATGTAAAAATAATAAATATTTGTCGAATTGGAAAAAGCCTGCTTGGAAAAAGCCTGCTTGGAAAAAGCCTGCTGTCGAAGCCTGCTTGGACCGAGCTGTCGAACCGAGCAAATTGAAGTCAGAGTGTACGATTCTTGTTTTTCAGTGGCGCCATCTATGGCCAAGAATTCGACTTTTGCCACGTCATACGTCACACCTGTTTATAAAACGGACCCATTCATACATCCATTCATTCATCCATAGATCGTAATTTTGACCTGAATCAGAGAACGATCGGTCTCCAATCCAGTACCCCCAGAGGTATTGATTTGTTTTGGGAACATGGAGGACTTTTCGACTGGACAGAATTTTAACGTGCATCAGTCACCAACTACAAAGTCTTCGGCAGGCGACGTTCGAACCCATGAACTGTCGGACATGGGCCCAGCGCCCTACCGACCAGGCTATCCCGGCCTATATTTAATTTGTATTGGCCAATATTGGTATTAGCAGCAAACTCAGAAAAGCAGTCACCAATACATGATCCTTATAGCCGATGAGTACGGATAACTCATTTCGACTTCTGACAAACGCTGTTTGCAAATAAATAACTAATCTTAACCAATAAAAAAAACAATTTACGATTAAAAATTAACGAACTTCGCTCGTCTTCATCTTCGTTGCTGTAAGAGGTGGTCGATGTACTGGGATGATCGTAATCTCCACAATCCTTGTCATAGACCCTTTGTCTTGTGACAGTGAGTTTGGCGACTGGTTTCATTGGAGTCCCAGATGAATCATAAAAAGGTGAAAGGGGATTGTTTGGCATTGATGAAGTGATGCGACGAATCTTTTCTTGTGGAACTGTGGGTAGCTTTTGGCTCTAAAATAATAAAGTACGTCATTAGAAAATAAGTCACATCATTGACTCAACAACTCATGGATTGTTCGGAAAGTGATTTCGTGTTTTCTCCAACAGATTACTTTAGTGTAATTTTCACAAAACAAGTCATCTGGTTCTTGACGGGTCATGGACCATTTCCAACCTTCTTTAATTACCTGCATATAACAGATACTGATCTTTGCACCTGCGGCCAACAAGGTTCGCCTGAACATTATCTCACTAGTTGTTCCTACACTGTCTCCTGGTATAGTCGTCAGCCTAGCCCAACAAATTTAGAAATTTGGCAGAAAACTTTTATTACAAACAATATTTTAAATAAAAGATTAATAACAGTAATGAACTTCTTAGCGGATAATGACTATCTATTAAAATTTTAATAACTTCCCATTTCACATGTATAATATTTTTTTTGTCCAATTTCTTCTTAAATTCCACACTTTCAGTAAAATCTGTTCTTTTTTTTTCAATTTCTAAATAAATTTTTTTTTTAAAGTATTATGTTACTTAGGCTGGAGTGGTGCTGGACCAGCGGCCAAGTCCTGCGCTATATGGTTAAGGGTTTTCATAACCTAGGTACATGCTCAGGGCTTGGAGGAAAGAAAAAGAAAGTAATTTTCACAGCCAATTTCACTTCTAAGTCGTATAATCATTATAAATGTTGAAAACTGACACACGAAGGCTGATATACTTCTGAAAAAGTTCGATTGATTTTAAGTAGTAGTTTTTGGTTAGTGCCCTTTCACATGTAGAAAGGGAAAAAGCAGCATATTTTACTTGTTTTTATATCGAACATGTAGAAATGCTGTTCAAGCAAGAAAAAAGAATCGTACGATGTGTATTGAAAAGTAGTGCTGGCAGTACACCAGCGCTAAAACTGGTCCAAAAATCTTCGATTAAGACATACGACGATGCATTATGCCAGTTTAGGCTGATGAAGTCTCAATAATAACACTAACTGATGCTAACTGGCTAATTACAACTCGTAAGATCGCTGTTAGATTAAATTTGATGATTTTGGCCATTCATGAGCATTAGAAAGACCTAGTTTCGTTTTCAAAGCTCGGCATATGAGTTCCTCATATTCTTACGGGGAAAAAATTTGTGTTATCGTATTAGATATCTGGGATTTGCTTCTGAAACGTCAAGAAAATTATCAATTTTTGAAAGGCATCATCACTGGGGAAGAGAAATGAGTAATTTCACAATATTTGCTTGCGACTCTATAAAAAAATTTTTTAAATGATCCTTTTCTCCATCTGAGAAAGTCAAAAGCCACCTGATTCAGTTTTTTGCCAGAAAAACATCTTTATGTGCTGCAAATCAAACTACTTCCAATCAAAAATCTACTAAATCAAACTACTAAAATATAGAAAAACTGGACTATTCGAAACATAGCAAAAGGTATTTAGAAGAATGGAAAATATACAATTCAATGAACTATTTATTTCCTCAAACAAAACCGGTTTTCATTTTCATAGGGAAAAATCAAAATTACTTTCCAAACAACTCAATATAACTATTTTAATAACTATAAACTGTTTTTTTTTGTTACGCAATTGTGTTAACAATGTTCAATGTTTCACATTTTTGATTTTAATGGTGTAGCAAAAAATGGATTCATAGAAAGAATGATCGCTCCAAAAATAAAAAAGGATAGATAAAAATATAAATTTTGAGAAGGAACAAAGCGATTTTTTAGTACTGATAGAGTGATGCAGACGATCTCTTTTGGAACAAAAAGAAGCTTTTAGTTCTAACTTCATACAAAACAGAAATATAAATCAATCCTACCTGGGACTCAATGTCGCTAGCATATATATAAATATCAAGCTCTTTTGTTTCCTATGGTGTTACTATTTTATCAATAAATCGTGAAAATCAAAATGGAAAATTTTTAATGAATCATCCGAGCATGGATTTTTTTAATTCTGGAAAGGAATGACCCAATAAAAACAAAAGAGTCATACAATATATATTCCCTCAAGATATGATAAGAAACAGTATTAATTCAAAATCTATTGTCAGTAAATATTTCACTTCTTCATGTTTTTATTTCTTGTATAATTCTTTATAGATTCAATAAATTTGTATAATAATTCTTTATAATTCTTTATAATTCTTATATAATTCTTTCCAAATAATTCTTTATAGATTTAAAGTAATCGAATTACTTTCTTTTTTTTTGCTTATAAAGAAGTTAAACAAAATTAACGAAAACGGTTTACTTAATGCTTGGAAAAGAAACATTTTCAAGTTCTTACTATATTAATGTTTTAAAAAAAGGTTTCTTGAAAACCCGTACTTTTTAACGTGTTGCAGCGTTAACTTTACAATATGACTAAAAATTAAAATATGACTTATTGTCTCATACTATGTAAGTCATCCCGCTGTCAGTTCCCGCGTCCCAAGGATACAGGTTCATGACTTTCTCAGCGACCCATGAGCAGTTCTTGAGGCAGAGTTCCAATGCGCTGACCCCCACAATCCAGTCCGGACTCGGACCCAGCATGGTTAGCAGGGACATGAGATGATGGAACTTGTCCACTCTGAAGACGGCGAATGTTTTTCCTTGAGCATTAGGATACCAGAGACCTCTTGCTTTAATAATAGTTCTTATCTTGTTCGACTGAAAAAGAAAAATTTATTTTAATTAAATAAAAATATCATCATTTAAAAAGCTGTAACTAGTTTGCATAAAAAGAGCACCCCTGATGCTCATTTTATTATGCTACTCTCAACAGCCTCGGATTTAGCTGTTATTGGTTGAATTGTATTATCGTACAAGTTTATGGCAACAGTAATAAAGTGATAATTTGATTATGTTTTCTTTCTATGTCCACCCAGCATTTCTCTGACATCAGATGCTCAATAATTTTATCAGTGTGTATCATGAATATGTATTCAGATTTTTTTATGCATCGTGTCGTTACAAATTCTCTATCAATAAAATTATTTAATTAAAATTCAACATTTTTGATTCACGTGCTTAATACATTTAACAGAATTTTCTTGAATTTGTATCCATATTTTTTATTTGTCGTGTCGCTACAAATTATTTAAAGCAATAAAAATTTTGAGTGGAAGCTCAACATTTTTGGGGACATTAGATTCTAAATAATTTCAGCAGTGTGCATCTTGAATTTGTACTCATATTTTTTATAAGTTGTGTCTTTACGAATTGTTTAAAGCAATAAAAATATTGAGTGAAAGCTCAACATTTTTAATAAAATCACGTGCTTGGTAATTTTAGCAGAATTTTCGTGACTTTGTATCCATATTTTATATTCGTCGTGTCGTTACAACTTCTCTAAAGCAACAAAAATATTGAGTTCAACATTTTTGATGACATCACATGTTTGAAAACTTAGCCGAATTTTCGTGAATTTGTGACTATAATTTTCATTAGTCGTGTCTTTGCGAATTATTTAAAGCAATAAAAAATTCTCGTGAAACCTCAGCAATTTTTTATGAGATCAGATGCTCAATAATATTTACAGTGTGCAGCATGAATTTGTGTTCATAATTTTTATGCAAAGATCTGTCACTATTTTTTGTTTTACTACAGGTCTTAATTGTTTATTAAAACTTTTGCATTAAATAAACAGCATCTTCAGCCCAATTTATATAGAATATAGCACTGATGAAAGAATAAAATTAGTACTTTTGCATCTCTGCACTGCACTCTGCGCTATTTCACCCTCAAGGAGGTATTGAGAGGTCCGGAATAATTTTTTAAAGTATGCTGATTGTCATTATTTTGCTAGCAATTCATTGCTATTTCCATTGCTGTTGTATTGTATTTTATACAATCATTTTTTGTAATCCACCATTAGAGGAAACTTTATACATTGAGCTCTGTTTCAAATTAATCATAATAAATGTGAACGTAAGATATTGTTCCCTGCAAATTGCATGCACTTCTTTCAAAAACCAGCATATTGATTATTAAATTTCAAATATATGAGCTTCATCAGTTATTTGTATATCGATTTGCTAATAGAAGTTGATGAAGGAAAGAAAGGCGAGAAATCAAGTATGGAAACCTACCTTCGTGCACGCGAGGCATTTGAAAGTTAAGCTTCAGTATCATTCAATTTGCACTTTTGCAGATCTTTAGCACTTATCAAATTACATTTTTTGCTTACGAAATATTTTTTTATTGTATAAGTCAAATTCTTCAATAATTCGGATAACAAATTATCTGATTAGAATGATAACTATTCATTTGTATAATTCAAATTCTAATCCATGTATTCAAATGGACTATGGATAAGAACTAACCTCAGTTTTAAGTTCAGATTCGAGTCGTTTCGTGATTCCACGCTCCGCCACTTCTTTGACTCCCTCAGATGCTACACCACCATACTCCCACATTCGAAAATCTCCAGTGTGCGAAGCACCAATAATATCCGAGAAATGCGTCAACCATTCATCTGCACATAACAAAAAACTTGTTTATAGTATCATGTTTATACCTGTAAGTTATAACCAAGGATTTCGAAAACCAAACAAAAAATCAGTTATTGTTTAAAAATGTTCAAATGGCACCCGCCTTAATGTTATATTTTATTTGCTTTAATTATCTTTCAGTTATTCCAGAAAAAGCTGGCTCCTTACAAGCAGAATTTGTGCAATTCAATTTAGCCATGGCAAAACTATATTTGGGAATATATTTAGAAATAATGAAACCATTAAAACTGAATTGTTGTAAACTAATTTGTTTTGTTTTTTGATGAACTAATTAGTTTTTCTTAAACATACACACTATACCATGAAATAGTGTTTTATGAAAATTGCCTGTCGATTTCAAATTGGTTATGCAGGTATCTGCTTTTAAAGTTTAAGAAGTTATTTGGATTAAACCATGCCATCCTATTAACTCCGACTCAAAGCGCGTTTTTTGTGCTTTAAAAAAATATTTCTATGTCAAAGAGATTTTAATGTCTCATTTGAGAGGTTTTCGAAACTATTCTTTTTTAAAAAAGTAAAGGTATTCTTTTTTTCATTTTTGAAATGAAAAAAATTTAAAACAGAGAAAGCAATAAATAAAGAACTAATGAATTAGCAATTGATAAATAAAACAATTTGAAATAAAAAATGTAAGTTTTTCTAAGCTTAATGATAAGAAGAAAAGAATCTAATACTCATAAAATTTAAAAATATATTCGGCATGTCATTAAATGAAAACAAAGTCGTAAATCCGCGAGACAGATTTTTTTCTTCTGAAAGCAGAATTGAAAAAATATAAATTTAAGAAGCCTATATGTACAATAAGTTGGAAAAAAAGGGTAACCTTGTTAAATAAAATGGATTTCCTCTTTTAGTATCATATACTATTTGAATAATATTTAATGATGAAATAAATTATTTACGAATAATCTGGTGAAATTACTTGTTGGAAAATCTTTAGGGTGTGTATGTCTTGACCATAAGCCCTCGAATGTAAGTTCATATTTCGCTTCATCGCAGGCACAGCAATCTTCAATTATTTCAGGCTGCTCATCCTGATTCTCTTGCTCTAAAAGAAGTTGAACAGTATTAATTGAAGAGAAAGAAATCTTAAAATTGATTCATTAAATGTAACACTTGTTAAATTGGATTTATTAAATAGTTTAAAAATGCCTATAAGTTGTTTACAAAAAACATTGTTTTCTGTTAAAAACTATCTTAATTAGAGACTTGTTATGTGAAATCAGTGTTCCTGTAATTTACGTAGTTAGAGAGTTATAACATGTGGGTAATAGTTTCACATTGGTTGAGAATCGGAATTTAAATTTAAAAAAAATGAAACAAACGTTTTGTCTTCTACATAATAGAGAGCCATTGACTAGGTTTTCTTCCAGCGGAATTTCAAATTAAAGTTATGTATTCTTTTTCAGACCTTCAAAATTACTTTTAAGTATTCAAGGTACCTATAACAAGCAAAAATACTATTAAATAACCAACTATTTTTGAAGAGAATTAGATTTTAAAAATTGTGAGAGCTTTACTTGACACTTTACTGAAGTGAATTATGATATTATACAATAAATAAACAGTTTATTGCTTAAAGAAACGTTAATTTTCTTGTCAAGACGTTAAATAATGTAGAAATGTTTACAAAGAATCTTCAAAAAAAAGTTACACCTTAATATTTAAACTAAACCAGCATCTCAATAGTTTAAGGGGCTTAGTTTTCTCATGTCTCTTGGCTAGGTAAAAAAATCAGAACGTAGCGTAAATTACGTACCAATATCATAGCAACAAAGGAATTTTTTCACTTAGTGCAGCTTATTAACTTGTTAGTTTTACTGTGAATTTTTTTACTGAGAGTTTTACTGCGCGTCGGTGAATTGAACCAGAATTAATTCCACTCCGTCTGAAGAAACTATCATCGCTGACATCATCACGACGCTATTCTTAAAGTTTCTTCTCGCTGCACACTCGAGCAAAACTAGTATCAATTTGTTGATACAGAAGATTTGAAAAGTTTATACTCTACGGTTTGAAATTTAGTGTCTATGACCTTTGAGTATAAATATTTTTCTTACTATTGCAAAATTATATTTGCCGTATGAATGAATAATACTTTTCTGTATAGGTTGTCTAAGGTTATTACAATTTATTTATTACAACCAGAGTTTTTGAATGAAAATAAAAATGCGTGAATTTTTGTTAGTGTGCTTGTTAAAATGTTTTTTTTTTCTAATATTGTACATTAGTGTAGAAACATAAAAGAAAATTTTCAAATTACTAATCTTTTAGCTAAGAATTTAGCTCAATTATTTGAAAAAAAATTTTATAAATTATAATGGTATTTACTCATGTTCGTTTCATTTTTTCCTGTGATAAATTATACAATGAACAGAAGAATAAATTCTTCATTTATATCACTTTTCTATATTTATTCTACTGTTACTTTAAGAAGATTAACGGTGAATAAAATGCATATAAATATGTGTTTTATTCACCACTGAAATAAATTTAAGGAAAAATAAAAGTTGAGAAAACTTACACTTAAAATAAATTGCAATTTATTCGACAGAATGTATTTTTGTCTTCAAATGATTAATATCTGAGTATGTAAAAGAACTAGAACAAAACAAACAACCAAACTATTTCATTAAAGTTCATAAATTCCATTATAAATAATAAAAATAAAACAATGAACTCGTCAATCTAACTATATTCCGTTGCAAGTTGCGAAAAAAATCATTGCGGTATAAGATCTAAGTAATCATCCACTACTGCATATATTTCCATGTTATTTCGTTAGCAAATTTAACAAATATGATTTCGAAACAATATGAAAACTTTTAAAAATTAAACACGTCAGACGGAAATTTATTCCGTGCTATCTTATACTATGTATATCATAGAATTATTGAAAAAAGGTTATAGTTTCGTGGTCTTACTGGACTCCATGGGTAACGTTCTTGAAAAAGAAACATCTATATGACATTGCAAGAGCATTGGGTATGATTGGACCACTGAAGATGACGTACCTTATGTTCACATGCTCTTAACAAATCAAATGCGAGATAAAGAATTTTAACTTTAGTTTCGCTGTAGAAGAAAATCGGCTGCAAGAAACATTATTTATAACTCTTTTATCAGTTTATTTAAATGCAAGCAGAAAGAGGTATAATTGTTACGATTTTTAGGTACTAATACTAATTCTTATTACTTGTGAATTGTTGTACAGAACACAGAACCCGTTATCCGGAAATCAGAAAACCGGAAAACCGAAAAACCGGAACGAAATTCAATAAATTTTCTCGCCATTCTTTAAAAAAAAAATTTTTCCTCATAAGATTTTACGATTTTTCTTTCTTGTTTTACCTTACCATCATTTTGGAAATAATCATTAGTGTATTACTTCATCGTTTTTTCTTATTTGTATGATTATTTCCAATTTTTTTTTTTTTTTTTAGTTTGGTTTAACTATAAAAAAACGGCTTTTTGTAGCGATTCAGAAAACCGGAAAAATCAGTTATCCGGAATAGCGATGGTCCCGATCGTTCCGGATAATCGGTTCCCTACTGTAATAAGAAAGCATAGAAAGAGGAGACTGTGCAACGCCATTTCAATAGTTGGCGATGTTGATGTAGGTTCGTGCTGGGAGCTTGGCATCTATTTGGCATGTACTTAGATGCCAAATGGATACTATCCCCATGAAAAACTAGTTATCCCCATAGGGATAATGGTTTTTTTCTAAACTTGCAACAGAGTATTGTAGTTTAGCTTGATACCGTAGAGGAGCACAAAAACTATTTGAGCAAAAATGGGAATAAAGCGAGCTGCTCTCTTATATGCTCTAGCATTAAAGTGGAGACCTTTAGTATATTTCTCTGAGGTGATGGATGCGGTAATTTATCATACATCGCTCGTAAGAAGAATTTTACAAACTAATTGCTTTTTAAGCACTTCAAATTTATAACATAGCAATAAACCTACAAAATTTCTTAATCATAAATACCTTCTTCACACAACTCTCTAAGAAGTCCTCCTTCATCCATATACCAGAGTTCTTTATTTTCTTGTACTGTCGCTCTAAAAAAAAGTATTTATCAAAAATAAATTTATTGTAGTAATCAAATTGCTTTATAGGTTATTTATTGCTTTATAGGTTAATTTTCTTTAATAATTATTTTGATTAATCAACCAAAATTTTTTACAAAATAATATTTTATGATTATTAATTAGATATTTCTTCTTCTTCCATCAGCATGATGGCCTAGAACAAGCCGAAATCGTCCCAACAACTCGTCTCCTTCTGGCTCGATCAGACACAAGGTTTCTCAACTAATTGATCCCCATGTTTTCGAGATCTTTCTCGGCAGAAACAATCCATCTGGTGCTTTGCCTTCCCCCTTTTATAATTGTCTGTAAGCGATCCAAAACTCAGCTTCTTAACTGGGTCACCATCATCCCTTCTATGGATGGGACCCTACCATCTTATTCTATAGGATTTAATAGCTAAAATTATATTTGGTAGTTTAGAGCTCTCCCAATGAAGTAATCCGGGTCCAAATACCTTCAATGACTGGTCGATACAAATTCTGCACCCAACCGCAGTACTGACTACACAGTACCGACCACAGTAAGGCCGTGGTGGCTCAGGGAACAGAGCGTTCGCTCTCCAATGAGGTGAACCGGATTCGAATCCCAGTGATGGCTGGTTGAAACGAATTTCGCACCCGGCTTGCACCGACCACAGTGCTAACGTGAAATATCCTCAGTGGTAGACTAAGCATGGGTTAGAGTCCCCAAGCCATCTGGCTGACCGTGGGAGGTTTTCGTTGTTATCCTCTCCATCTAACGTAAATGTTGGTTAGTTCCTTCAAATAGTCCTTCACGGAGGCAAATTTCTCATAATGTTTAATCCAGGAGTTCCCTTGTCTTCTGGATTTGGCTCAAAATTATAAAGCTACAGAAATAAACATTGGTAGTCGTAAACTCAAAATTGGGTGGGTTCTTCAGCGACGATTATGAAAAAAACACTGTTTCGATGTTTAGATATTCTTATTGGATTTAAATTATTAAATCAGTAATAATTTAAAAGAAATTATTAAAGAAAGAAGTCTTTTAATTTTTTTAAAGTTTTTAATCAGGTAATACTAAATTGATTATCATTTATTTATCTAAATTGATTATCATTATACTCATACTTACTTAAAAACAACGCAACCTGTTCCAGCAGGTGGCGCTCTCCACATGACTTGTATATCTTGTTTGGGTATTAGGGAGGCATGGACGATAGCATTTGGACATTCTTCGGAATATTTACACATTGCATCCCCGAATAACTGAAATTTAATAAAGCACTTAAGGTCATTAAATACTAAAATAGTGAAAATAAAAAATAAAAAACTTTTTTTCAAAAACAACGAAAAATTAACATTATTTTCAATAACACTATGCTAAAATTGCGTTAAAAATTTAGCACAATCTGCGGAATACTGTTAAAAATTATTAATCAAAATATTATTTACAACCTGTCTCTAGTTTTTAAAAGTTTTTTTCATTAAATAAACTGACTCTGTTTTAAAAAGATAAACTGATTTCATAAAGGACATATTTCTCCTATAGTCATGTTCTAATTTCAGTTTTTAAATTTTTGTTACATTAGAAAAAATAAAGCATATCAATTTTTTTTCGTGTAATGCCTAATCAATTAGTAATTGCGTGTAAGTTAGTTAAAATTCGTAAGGTATTTAGAAAATATTTTTATAGAATATAATGAATATAAGAGTTTTAACCCTTTCAACATTTAGAGTTTCATCTATTTGACATTATTATATCTTAGGAAAAATACGAAAAAAAAATCACATTTTTAAACACGATTTGAAAATGCGATTGTATTTTAATATGATAAAACGAACATTTCAAAATTTTAACTTTTATGAAAATCTTAAATGATTTTTTTTAATGAAATGCATGTTTATGAACAAATTTCTTTCTTTTCTTTTTTCTTGTTCTTAAAATATCCATATTTATTCTTTTCCGCAGGGTGCAAAATAATAACCGAAATACCTTAATAATATTTGATCTATTAACAGTATTTTTACATACAGAGCTAATATATGAATAATTCAAAAACATATCCCTAAGTATGCTAATTAATAAGCGCAGACAATATTTCAAATCAGGAAATCAGGCGCAAAACAGTACCTTATCTTTATAAACACACATATCCCTTTTTTGTGACGAATTTATATTTTTAATTCTCTTATAGAGATTCTCATTCGGGGGTATTAGCTGTCATGAAGATATAGTTACAATAGTTTGGCCGCCGAAGAGCCAAAATTGTAGATCCTCTTTTTAAAGTTAAGATAACTTTTTATGGATTTTACAATGTTAGTGAAACTATTGAAGAAAATCAAAAGAATTTGCATTTAATTGTAAAAAAAAAAGATTGAATAATTTCATGCCAGATATAATTTTATATCAAAAAATATTTAACGTTTTTTTTATTTTATTATTATCTCATCTAATAACTGTCAAAAAGCATGGCATACGAAGTTTTACTTATTTTCAAGGAACGTAATTCTAAATTTCAAAATACAAAATTTAGACTAAAATACCAAAAAAAATTCAGAATTAGAAAAATTTGTTGTTGCTGTTGTTGTTACTAATGATCCAATATCAACAAGCCTGTTTGTTGAAACCAATCGAATTTTTTAAGGCAGGGGGGTGTGTTTCTTGTTTTTCAGTGCCGCAATATATGGCAAAGAGTAAGACTACGGCCGCTTACGCCTCTGAGCCCGTTTATATAGTGAACTCATTCATACATCCATTGATTCATCCACAGATCGTAATTTTGACTTGAACCAGAGAACGATGAATCTCCAATTCAGTACCCCCAAAGGTATAATTTGTTACGGGAACATGGAGGACCGATTAACTTGCACCGGTCACCATTTACTACACCCCCCGGCCTAAGACTCTCCGCCTTAGGCCGGTGGGAATCGAACCCACAACCTCCTGCACCAACAGAACCTACCAACGAGGCTCTCCCGGCTACGGAAATTTTAAGAAAGTCTTACTTTAAAATTTTAATTCTGTGCTATTCAACTGATCCCGTTGAAATTTAGGATTTTATCCACGAAAATTACAAAGTATAAAATTGTTTACATAACCGTGTTAATACAGTCATTATAAGTCAAAAGATTTTCAACCAATATTAAATTAAATAATAAAGCTATTAAATGAAAATTAATATATATATATATATATAATATNATATATATATTTAGATTGAAATATGTTTTGGATCCTCAAAACTTTTTTGTTGCTCTTGAATAATTCTAGAGATATGGCAAAATACGTAAAAGTAGATATTAACGTTAAAAACCACTTATTGACCGGGTCCGGGATAGCCTGGTCGGTAGGGCGCTGGGCCCATGTCCGAGAGTTCGTGGGTTCGCACACCGCCAGCCGAAGACTCCCCGTGTACTAAAGTGACTGATGCGCGTTAAATCTGTCGAGTTGCAAAAGACCTCCATGTTCCCATAACAAATCAAAACCTCTGGGGGTACTTGGTTGGAGACCGATCGTTCTCTGATTCAGGTCAAAATTACGATCTGTGAATGAATGGATGGATGTATGCCGGATGTATGATGGATGTCCGCCGTATAAAATAGGTGTGACGTATGATGTGGCAGAAGTCGAATTGTTGGCCATAGATGGCGCCACTGAAAAAACAAGAATCGCACACTCTGCCTTAATTTGCTCGGTTTCACTAAGCAGGTTTGCCCGCGTGGCAAGTGGTATTAGAGCCAACCAACCAGCTTATTGACCACTTCCCTAATCAAGCTGTTGGGACCATATTTTTTAGATTGCTGTAACCCCCTATACTTTGAAGGTCAATAATTCAAATCCAACTAAAAAAAATTTTTTTTAAAAAAAGATCGTTTTTCTGTTTGATTTTCTTATTTAAATATCGCCATCAGAATTTAGCATCTTTGAAGTCTATCAAAACACTAGCAATTCATATTAATATGCAAAGATCCGTACATCAGATGTAAAGTTACTAACCCTTTGACGCAGAATATTCATTAAACATATTTTTCATTTTTTCTTCATTATTTTGATCCAAATTAGGTCAAAATAAGGGTAAAATATTATATTTAGCATCTTAATAATTATTGGTTATTAAATACAACAAGGAACACTGGTGCTCCTTTCTTTCTTAAGGCTTATTTCCAAACTATAATTATTCCTTTCCAATTTGCATTTATTTGCAATTATTTAGATCAAAGAGAAACAGTTATTCCTTTTTAAAATTTCTTTAATTTGCAAAATCAATCATTGATAAATTTTCGAATATGAATGGAGAAAGAAAAATTCCATCTACTTTTTTTTTAATTTTATTTTTTAGTGCGAATATAATTCCTACAATCTGAGAGATATTTTTAAGAACTATTAGACTGTTTTTACAATTAAAAAATGCCAAAAATATATTTTTACTTGTATTGCGAAGACTCAGAAAAAAGGATACATATAAAAATTTGCGATCCCATCTGCTCTAATAGGTTAAAGTATCCCGTCTTCTTTTTATTATTGCGCACTTTAGCGAACCAATTAAACTTACTTGCTTAAGTGTTAAAAAATCACTTGCGTGCTTTCAAAAAATAAACTACTATTATAATAGTTTTGCTATTTTATGAAGTAATTAAGGTTCTTGTGTTTTTTGCTATTTGTATTGTTAAGAGATACATTTTTAAGTAAATAATTTAACTTAAATTTTCAAATTTTGGTTCGATAGTCCACAGATTTTATTAACGTTTAAAAGCTAAAACGCTTAAACACCGTTTACGTTTGAAAGTCATATATTTAATAAAACTTGGCACAAAAATAAATATATTTTAATCAAACTGTTAGAAATTTCTCGAAAAAAATGGTTCAATAACAATTTATTTAATTGTTATTATACCATATTCAAACAAAAAAAAAGCCAAATAACCGTAAATAAGTTGGTACTCAAACTGTTAACTGTGAGAAAAACCGTTTATTAACTATTTTGACCAAATACTGTTAACCAAAATTTTATCGCTCCAACTAAGCTCACCTAATGAAGTCACTGAGATCCTTGCAGCCGAGTATATATTGCAACCGAGAGGGTTAATCTGGCAGTCTTATGATCGAAAGAACGGAGGTTCGAGTCCCACCTTTAACACCATAATATTTTCTCTATTCTCTTCAGCGCGTGAAGAGTTTTCAATGGCCTGCACTCTCCTATGATCATTATCTATTTAAAAGCGTAGCTCCAATGCCCACTTAATTTTTTTTTACAGTTTTGAAACCATTATGGTTGTAAATGGTTGGAAAATCGCACAATTTTGTATTAATGGTTTTATAACCATACTAGTTATAAACGGTTAAAAAACAGTAAAGATAAAAAATAATTTACCGTAAACTTTACGGTTAATTAGATGGCCATAATTTTAGAATAAAAATTCTGACAGCGCGAAGAGACAAATTTTGAAATAAATAAGCCTTACTTGAAATGCACCAACATCCGGACGTGCAGCAATGTCATTTCTTATTTCTTTAGGTTCAACTATTAGCATAAAACCTATAAACTTCTGTACAGCAAATTGTGAACTATATCCTTGCAGAGTAACTGTAAAAGAAAAAAGGTTTTACTCATAGTTCGTGTTAGAATTTCGCAAAATCTAGCTATTAATGTTGTTTTCCGAAGCTCTGTCGCCATGAAAAAAAAATAGTTTAAGTGCCTTTATACTTGAAGCAATGCGATGATTTTAAACTATATATAATCTTGCCTTAAAGAATTATCTGGAATTTCAGAGAAATAAATTAAATATTTTAAAAATTAGTAAACTTTTTAAAAAATCACCAATTTGGTGGCATTTTTCCATAGATTAAAATTATCAAAATCACTGCGTTATTCTCAGTTTTTGCAAATTTTTATGAATCCAAGTAATGCAGCATTGGATAAGTTTTTAAATTTTGAAAAATTAGACCACAAATGTTTTTTATTTTCACAAAATTGTGACTATTTTCTCCATATTAACTTTTGGCGCAATTTTCCAAATAAACACCAGTGCTGGCTTTGGATAGGCTAAACTTGTCCTAACAGTCATGAGTAACAGTTGCAAACTCACGGCAGTTATAAAAATATCATATTTTTGAAAAAAAAGGGATCATTTCATAATACGACGGAGACTTCGAAAAACAGCCTTAAAACTAGACAGTTTGAATTTTCACCATAAACTAAAACGCAATTCCTCTTAAAAGTAGCAATGTTAGAGATTTTAAATTTTAAAAAAAATTAATAACAATAAATTTTTATATGAATTATAAAAGTTCTATTATTCATTAATTACTCCTTTGTTAGTAAATTGCTAATACATTTCAGTAAACATAATATGGAAGTAAAGTGAAAATAACTAACCAGTTAATGAGAATATTATATCTAAATAGATTTTTAGGGCTCCCAGCTTCTAAAAAAAGCATATTCTACAAGAATTTATTGTAAATTTGGCAGAAAGGGATTTTGTTTTTTGTTTGAACAACAAACTACAAATACCCGCCCTACATTTACATAATGTTTTTACATAATGTTTTTACACATTGCCATCCTACACTGATACATTGCTTTTGTGAGAAATTAAAAAATTTAATAAGAAAAAAATTTGTTAAGAAATATTAATATACTATATTTTGTGAATACAGGATTTCATACTATCTGGTGTAATGTTTCACAGCAGCAGCTTTTGTATTGCTTGTGACCAAGAAAATGAAAAATTGATATTGCTGAAATTTAAATAATATCAAATATAAACGGGTTATAATATTATTTCATTAAAACGTAAAACACAAGGTGTTCTTCAATTTAAATGGGCTAAAGATAGATTGGCTTTAGATGGGCTAAACTTGAACTAACAGTAAACTTGAGTAACAATTGCAAACTCACAGCTGTTATAAAAATTGCATATTATTCCGAAAAAAGCAACATTTCATATTACGACGGAGCCTTCAAAATACTGCTTAATATAGTTCATCCATCGTAAGGAAACGTATTAAACGTAAACCTAAGAAGTCGTATTCTTTTCTTTCCTCTTTTTTTTTTTTTTTTTTTTTTTTTTTTTTTTTTTTTTTTTTTTTTTTTTTTTTTTTGGCGAGGGGATGTTCTTGTGCTGAAGAATCTTTATTAGTAAGAAGTTTTCTTTTCATCTTTTCATCAAAATGAACTTCCTGAAACGTGTTTCTGCGAATTTTTTACTTTTTTATTAATAGCATTGATCCATGATTCGATTCTCAATCGTCTTTTTACAATGGACAGACAGTGCAATCGTACACAGTGAAAACAGTTCTGGTAAAAAAACATATTGAATGGTAAAGACATTTCTGGTAAAAATAAACCATAATTCCTGTTAACAAAAGCGAAATATATATAATATAAACCATTAATTCTGTGTATTTTTTTTCGTTCATACGATAACGGTTTTCAGGAAAATCTAGTTTTCAAAATTATAGTTCTCAAACATTTAGTAATAAATACAAAACTGAAGAGTAAACTAACCGAATAAATGATGTTTATGCCATGTTTTTAGGTACCGTGATAACATTACCAAATTTTACCGCAAATACCAATTTTATCTCATATTATAAAACTACATTTTACTGCTAATTTTATCAAAATTACTATCAAAGGACTTAGATGAAAATTATCGAGCTTTTCGGTGTTACCATAGAGCCAAAAACACGGTGCATTTTACCATATTCTTTTAGTTTAACACAAACTTTTTTTCTCAGAGTATAGAAGCAAAATTTCAAAGATGTAAGTTCAAAGACATAAATTTCAAAGAAGTAATTTCAACACACTTGTAACACAACACACTTGTAAAATCATCTGCAATTTTTTTTTCTAAAATCATTTCAAAATTTATGTTTCGGACACTCGTCAATACTGACTTCGGGGAACCATTAAATAACTTTAACATCATTTAAACTTGTTTCGTTCGCAAATTTTTTCAGTTTCAGAGGAAAGATATCAATCAATTTTTCAATTATCAATTTTTCTAAGTTACGAAACCAAAAAAAAAATTGCTGAAAGAAAAAAGTTTAAAGAAGTCATAAACATTAATAAATTACCACATCTAAATTAAAGAGCATTCTAAAAAATGACTTTAAAAATTGTTTAAACAAATTTTATAGCTATATCTTTCAGAATGTTTAAGCTTTTTAAATTAACAAGGGTAACACAACATGGTATTTTTTCTTGTCAAACTTATTTTATATCTCCCTTTGATCAGCTTACCTGTAGAACGTAAAAGCTTTTCTATTTTGCGATGTCCGTTTTCATCTCCCATATTCTTACCATTTTATTTAGACAATTTCGCTATATTTCCTGTAAACTGCTAACACCACTAAACCATGGACAAGCACCTATATCTACTTTTAGTTCTCTTTCTTTTAATAGCCATGGTAGGCAGGCCGGTCGGTGACGTGAACAGCGATTGAACTGGTACCTCTCTCTCCAAAGTTCCACATCACAACCAACGACAGAGCTTGAGAGATTTAATATGCACCTCGGTGCATATACACGCTAGATAACTTAGTCAGTATTAAATATCGAACTCACAACCCTCGGCTCTTTATCTGAGGAGTGAGTGACGCGTTAATCGACTGCAGTAATTCCATTTATCTAACCTCCTTAATGCATTGAAAAAGCCAAATATCTCCTACAATTTGCATAATAAAATTGCAATGAGAGTCTCGATTATATTTTTCTATTGTGATTAAAGATTTTCAGAATCGATTCTATATTGAATTTGCTTAAATTTAAGTCTTCGTACTCCAATTACTAAGTAATTGTGACTTTTCCAAAAATTCAAATCCTAATTTATTTCATTGCCATATTTTACTGAAAGAACTCAAAATCATCCTTGCTTCTAATCAAATTTAAAAACAGCCTTTGTTTAAATACTTACAATATTAAATATAAATTAATCCCCAAGAGGGTACAAATTATGACTTAAGATTTTTAAAATTGATTTTATACTCAATTTGTTTAAAGTTATCTCTTTGTACTCCAATTTAAGTAATTTTAAATTCGACTAAAATTCAAAACTTAATTTATATCATTGCCATATTTCACTTGAAGAACTCAAAATCAACCTTGTTTCTAACCAAATCTAAAAACAGCCTCCGTTTTAACACTTACAATATTAAAATAATTTAATCCCCAGGAGGGTATAAATTATGACTCAAGGTTTTCAAAATCGATTTAATATTCAATTTGGTTAAAGCTATCTCTTTGTACTCCAATTTATTAGTGATTCTAAATTCAAACCCTAATTTATATCATTGCCATATTTTACTTGAAGAACTCAAAATCAGCCTTGTTTCTAACCAAAATTAAAAACAGACTTTGCCTAAAAACTTACAATATTAAATATAATATCTTCAAGAGGGTATAAATTATGACTAAAGATTTTCAGAATCGATTTTCGATTCAATTTGTTTAAAGTTATTTCCAATTTATAGGTAATTCTAAATTCGGATAAATTCAAATCCTAATTTATTTCATTACCATATTTTACTTGAAGAAATCAAAACTAACCTACCAAGAGTTTAAAAACAGCCTCCGTTTAAACACTTACAATATTAAATATAAATTAATCCCCAAGAGGGAATATCTATACTTCTCTATGTTCAACGAATCATCTGTTCGTTCGGGCAAACACTGCAATCGAACGAAGTTTTCATCGAACTTTTTTTTCTTCTTTTCTTAAATCACTCGAGGGACATAAAGGAAATGAAATCCCCATCTGTATCCAGCATTTACGGTTCGATTTCTGTCATCCCTTACTTTATGCACCGAGAATTCTGTAACATTTAATACTTCACTGAATTTTCTCCACCGATTTAATATCTGAGTTCGATTCGTTTTCTCAAGTGGCCGCCGTTCATAAAGAAATGGGAATGCTTTTGCCTTTGAACTAATACTAGGAAGAGCTTAATCCTTTTTTTGAACGAAACGTTTAAGCTTTTTATTAGAAGAAATCCAATTTTTTTTCTTCTTTATATTATTGTGATCTCGTGTAAAAATATATGCATTTATCAAATTCATTGTTCGAGACATTTTCCTGATTCATCTCCTTCATTAAATTCTTAAAAATACTCAAATTAGTTAGTAAAAAATCAATTGAGCCCTTTGATGCAATTTGATTTTATTTAACATATTTTTCATACTTTTTTTCACTATTTTGTATTCATTTGGGTCAAGATAAATGAAAAATATTATACGGGGAAACCTCTCGCTAGCAACCACTCTTTGTTCCATAATAAAATGCTCGTTAACGGAGGTTGGTCGATCTTAGGGGTTAACTCCATTGACTCCAAAATGTTTTCGAAGGTACATGATTTTTTGCAATCTGTTTTAATTTTTCTCAATGTCCTTTTCTTTGTACGTAAATTCCACTTGTGTCGGGGTCATGAAAACCAGATTTATGAATTTCAGACCTTATATTTTATTACAAACATAATTCCGATAATCTAACAGATTTTTTAGAAACCATTAGACTGTATTTTAAAATTAAAAAGTACCAAAATATACTTTTGCTTTTAATTCAAACGTCAGAAAAAAATAGATAA